ATTTTATGTATGTTATTACCAAAGAAGGAAAAAAGCCAGTCAGTCACTCAATAGTGTCTGACAGTGAAGTCTTGCAAGTAAACGTGTTTCCTTGCATAATTTGAATATTAGGACACTGCTAACGTTTAAATTTCACAGATAGGACACACATGACATATTCATGATTGCTGCAATGTGATATTGGCTGCAAAAGGGACAAAGTATCTTTAAGGGGGATTGGAAATCCAAGTTCAAAATAGTGGAATCCATTCTCAATGAGTATGCCTAGGTCACATTTGCGAATCGAATCGCAATCAGATCGTATAGTATGCGGTAGATTGTATTATGCCTCCTTCTACTGTACAACTAGCTCGAATGTACAGTTTTTTTTCTCGACTCAGTTCTATTCTCTATGATCTTTGGGAGTTCCTGCCTTGGTAGACAAGTGTCCTCTTTTCTAGCTGATCAATGTAAGTCATTGCTGGGCGACCTCTGGCACGTTTGCCCTTTGAAGGCTCCCAGAAGATCGGAGGCCTATACTGTAAATTTATTCGCGTGCAAAAAGATAAAAGAAGTGTTTATGTAGAGCATAGGAACTGTGCAGTAATACGATCTACTTGAATCATCAACATTATTATAAAAATGTCTAAATCGTGCATGAAATCACAAACGCTGACATAATTATGATAGAATTTAGAGAGAGTCATTCCTCATTGAACAAACATTCTATACACTGCAACATTAAAAAAAAAAAAAAAAAAAAATCATACATTATTGTACCTTGCCCAGACCCAAGCCTTCTATTTGATAATCCAAAGATAGGCCTACGTCAGAGTTTGATTCTTCGAGGCAATTATTGCAATAGGTGTTTTATATTTTCATAAATCCCTAAAAAAAAATCAGCAGTGCAAAAACTTATAAGACATTATTGTAGAATTGAAAGCATGTCAGTGATACAAACATTTAAAGTGTCGTGGGGTCCATTAGTGCAATTGAAGGCTTTTTAACCTGTCTAAATTTTAATTGGATATACTACAAAGTTTAATCTGACATTTCTTTTTCAGTATTCGACATCAAAATGTATATAGGAGCCTATATTTTATCCATTCTTCTTTAAAAATGGAACTCCATCTATTTCGTCTCTTGCTCTGTTTAGAACCATGCAGAAGGGCGATAATTATCAGTTGTCAGTTTGATTAGATTTGTGATATATTTTTCCCTTCAAAATTGGGGGTGTATAATAATATGTACATGCCGTCCCCCTCACCTAATTAAAATGTATAATCCCCCTCCCCCGTGATTGACACACGTGTTCATTTTGTCTCTGAAGATACCGACGGTATGGTTAAAGCCTGTATGGAAAATCGGATTCCCAAGATTGGAATTAAGATGGAAGAAAGTTACAAAAGTTGTAAACAACATTTAAAGGGATAGTTGAGTTCTGTTGCAGAGGGCGCTACACAAAATAATTTGTTTGTGAGATAATGAAAAACTGAGTGTCAAATTTAAAAGAACATAATATTTAAATGACAAATTCATCTTTGTTTGATCAAAATCGGTTCAGAGACGGCTGAAATGTCCATAAATATAACAATTTCGTACCACCACAAAAATTAGATATTTTGAAAAATTTGAAAAAACCATTGAAAAAACTAAATAACGGCTTTTACGTCGTATTTCAGCCAATGCCGCTGTATCTTTTTTGTTGGCATTTTCGTGTTGCTTATTATTACGCACAACCAGCCGGACCATGTATTGTTATTTTTAATTAAAAAATTAATTAACGGTCGCCGTGTTTTTTTGAAAGTGGAGCTGTATTGGTATGATCGTATTGGCTAAACTCACACATTTTTTGGTCTAAAATTAACCGTTCATTGAAATTTTAGTTTCTAAAAGGGCACTAGAAATGTCATAGATAAGAGTAAGAGCAATAACCATGCACTTTGAAGGCATTTGCGGTCTGAAAACAGAACTCAACTATCCCTTTAACTTGACCTATTTTACTGTGTTGGTGTTTTTCTTCTTTATTAAACGTCATTGAAGAATATCAATATTCAGTTCATAAAAAATACGAAATGTAAAGTATGATACCTAGTATAACACGTAATAAACGAGCCAATACAATGGTGAAGTAACAATTTAATGTACATGTATATACCATTTCGAATCGTATAGATTATTTTCTTGATGCACTAGAAATAAAGTTTTTATTTTGGAAAAACTAATACCGTATTAATAATGTTTCATATTTGATGGGGGGGAAGGACAATTCATACTTTGGACGATCAGAAGGAGGAAAGAAAAATAGGGGAGGAAGAAACGTAGTGCACAATGAAAAAAGGCAAGAAAGAAGATAAGGAGAGGGGAACGGGGAAGAGAGAGAGGAGGGCGGAGGGAGATCTAGAAGAGGTGACGGAGGGACGGAGATAGCAGAGGGAGAGAGAGAGAGAGACAGAGAGACAGAGAGACAGACAGAAAGACAGACGGAGAAATATACAGAGATACATAGAGAGAAAGAGGGGAGGCAGAAAGAGACAATGTCAGGGAGAGGGAGAGAGAGGGGGAGAGGGAGAGACAGACAGACAGACAGACAGAAAGACAGACGGAGAAATATACAGAGATACATAGAGAGAAAGAGGGGAGGCAGATAGAGACAATAGGGACTTTTAGATTTGCGTGGACTGATACGTGGTACTTCCATTCAAGGCAGTGCTTTAAAAGGACGTCGATCGTAGCATAGACCTATTGTCTTCGTGCGAATCTAAAAGTCCCTAATGTCAGGGAGAGACGGAGAGAGAGAGGGAGAGACGGAGAAATATACAGAGATACATAGAGAGAAAGAGGGGAGGCAGATAGAGACAATGTCAGGGAGAGAGAGAGAGAGAGAGAGAGCGAGGGAGAGAGAGGGAGAGGGAGAGAGACAGGGACAGAGACAGAGACGCGTGAAAAGCATGGTCATCTAACCTAGGATGTAACCGGTGTGTCGCCCATATCATATTGCCCAACCCTCCCCCTTCCCCTATACACACACCTTCTTTAATAGGGTTCTCCAACCCTTGTAACAAGATCAATTGTAATCAAGAAGAAAAATTAGATAAACAGAATGGCAAACAAATTGAAATAAAATTAAAGAGACTAATAAATTAGAAAGTTATGAATGTTTGAAATATGAGATCACTAAGTCTAAGCAAATCTAAAATTGGCCGTTTGGTCAGTGGATTGTGATGTAGTCACGGATAACTATCGTTTGTCGTGTAGTACACATTTTTTCCCTCTGTGCTTTCTCCCTTGGGGCATTGCTCAAAATTTATCATGGATAGCATATTATTATAGAACCTTTACAAAGAATATATACTGTCCTGGCTCATGCAGCCCCCTCGATTGTCCACTATCTATTATCTATAACTTAATATTTGGCTGTAATTCCTTCTATTTCTATTTTTCTTAAGCGCTTAGAGACATATTTTGTGATAAGCGTTATACAAATGTTGTTAATTATTATTATTATTATTATTATTATATTGTTTGAATTTTAGTCATATTAATGTGTGTTAGAACAAAAAGGGAAAGTGTTCTGCCACTGCATCACAATCATATTGCCGATTAAGCCATTTTGAAGAGCGCATACCTAAATATTATTAGTGATAAGTTGTTATTTGAGAATATGATTAAGGGACAATTAGGGGGCTGGTGGATAGATTCAAGAAAGCTGGGACGGTCGGGGGAAGGAGGTGAAGAGTATATATTAAGAAGATTGAACATAAAATGTAATTGCCTTAATCTGAATTTGTAATGTTTTTGGCCTAAAATTAATTGTATTCTATTGGCTTGATGTATCTGTGCCAAGCCTGGTCTGTGTTAATATATTTTGAACTAATGTAGGTTGATAATTATATTAATTATAGTTTGTAATTAGATATTGAATGTAGGCCTAGTGTCTGAGAATCGCCATTTTTTTGTAAAGCGCTTAGAATCATTGTATTTAGCGCTCTAGAAATAAAATCTATTATTAATTATAATTATTATTACAGAGAGAGAGAGAGAGAGGTGGTAGAAAGAGAGGGAGAGAGAAAATGATATATAGAGCCGCTGACAGACAGAGTGGAAATCAGAATGGTAAAGCTAAATTATGATAGGGATCGAGGGATGTTCTTATCTCAAGGCAATCGTATTATTTCTATAATATTGTAAGCATAAAAGTCAGAAGAAAAAAAGGGCTTTTGAAGGCTAAACAAATAAGAAGAAGAAAGATAGAGCGTTTGAAATTATTTTAGATTGCAAATGATTTATATTTAAAAATTAGCGAATTAATCACAAGAATATAAAATAATATTGGAGATAAATCTCCAAGTTTGGCTTGCACTGGTCATGAACTTACCATTTTCTCCCATCCATATTTTCCCTCGTGGCCGCATCACTGGAAACATATCATTATTTCATTTGATCTTATTCATTTTCTTCATGATCTTTTTCCAACAACATACTAATCATGATAATAACAAAATCATAATAATTACATCATCAACGGTAAATATTTACATTATCATAAACTTGGAAGGATTGCCATTATAGACATCTATACGCTGAACAGCTGCTTGAAGGCGTGGTTATGTATAAAAAGTTATGAATAATTCATTAAATACCCGGCATAAACAAAGAGATCCTTCTCCCGAATCCTTCTCAGCCTGATAAGCTTTGAACATAAAGATAGTTATTGTAATTAGAAGACATTTTTTTCATCTACAAAAACTTATTCACGTAGGGCTAAATGATCAGATTAGCTCGATTTTTACCATATATTTTACTTTATGTTACTTTACTTTAATTACTCAAGTCCAGGGCTCAACTCTACTCTACTTCACTTTACTTTACTTTACCTTACCTTACCTTACCTTAATTACCTTACCTTAATTTACTTTACTTTACTTAACTTTGCTTTAGCCCCGGCTTTAGCCAACTTTCCTTTACTTTATCTGATCCAACGTTGCTTGTCTTCGCGCCGCGCCGAGGACCAATGATGATGACGTCAAATATTCAACAACAAAAGTCAATCAAGATCAATTTTTCAAAATGGCGGCGCCCACAGTCATCTTGGATAACGGTGCTTACCACGTTAAAATTGGACTAGCATCTGATAAAGATCCCAGGTAGGCACGAACTTATTGTTGTCAACATACATATCTTTTTCACTGTAATGGAATGATAAGATTTTACGGTTTTAGTGCAAACTATAATACAAAGAGCTGATTACAGCCAACATCGAAATACGTTACGCATTGTTGTAGTCCCACATCATCTATATTTCTGTTAGCTGGCCTGTCGCTGATATTTCTATAGAACAGACGGGTACGCACACTCCTGCAAAGCATAGAAGTCAATGCTAATTAATGCGCACATGTATGTCCCTAAAGTTACGGCGGGTCAAAAGACCAGCCCTGTTATAAATCTGCACTAGTCTAGTAACTAGAAAGTAGACCTAAACAAACAATGCAATGCATGAATTATCAATTTGAAAATAAAAATCTATCAGATCCGTTAATCGTTATCAGCAAAAGCAAACTGCCAAACATTCAAACAAACTTGATTAACCAAATCAGCATCTGCGGCGCAGCGAAGACAGAAATATTGATGCTGACAACAGCTAGCATGTCGGCGATGATTAGATGATGATGTCGTATTGACGTAGATGAAGTCAGTGAACAGGTGAAGATGTCAACGTACAAATACAATGTCCATGATAATAAAAATCGGTTCGGAGACGCATTGAGTTAAGACAAAAATAGATCTTGAACCACAGCAACAGTCAAAATGACTTAGGGTCTACTAACGAAGATCGAAAATACAAGATGCTACGACGACGATGACGATAAATACGTGCTGTTAATATTGTGAAAATAATTATGCAGACTGGGAAAACCAATACTAGATTGCTCTTATAGCTCTGCATGGAGTAAAAAAAAAGTTGAATCACATCCATGAAGACAATTATCAAACGCTCCAAATTGCGATGTGAATAGGAGCAGCAGTCGAAACCCCTGCCAGAGGTGCAGGGACAAAATTTGGACAACATAAAAAAAGGTAACATTATAACCCCCAAAACAGCAACAGTCTGTGCGTGCCAATATAAAAAAATCCCACTGGTTTATTAGAGCAAAACCCCAATCAACATGGCAGCGTGATTGGTTAGCTAAGCATACGAAAGTTATATGCACTTTGCGTAGCAGTAGAAAATCTGCGTAACAAAAGAATATACAGGTATATCAAGAAACCAGGCAGAACCAGTTACGACATGTCTTGAGTCCAGTGGAAGAATACCACGCCAAAAGTTAAGGGGATCAAAATTTCCTTCTTCGCCATTTTAAAAAAGGAATGGAACACATGTATTCTGAATGTGAATCGTGTAAAAAAAACAATGCATACAACTCGTAAAACAATATTGCAGATGCAACAATCATGAACCAGTACTATTTCAAGTAATCGTTTTAGCTTTACCTTGATAATTATGTCAAATGATGAAAAAATATGATGCCAAAAACTTGGTTCATAATCCATATTGCGCATACGTTTCTTAATTTGTTTGTTTCACCTGACTGCTAAGAAAGTATGCTTTTCAGTAAGCAACTAGGAGACCAACAGCTTTTAGTCCTCTCTGAGGGACTTGGTATTAAGAATTAATGCCTTACCAAAGCACACTAGCGCATTGACTTGGTTTCGAACCCGGGACCTCCCGGTAACGAGACCACTGCTCTACCACTGAGCCATCGCACCTCCTCATTTTGTTCTCTTTGTTTTTACTCGGCAGGCACATACCAAACTGTATCTCCAAGTCTAAAAGTGAGAGGAGAAAGCAGTTCATTGGTAACCAGATCGAGGACTGCAGAGATCTTTCCGCACTCTACTACATGCTTCCGTTTCAGAAGGTAAATTTCAATTTTCTGAAAAAAGACCCTTGAATAAATCTTAAAGATAAACTTGAGTTCTGGTAAAAAAAGAAAATCAATTCTCACAGAATCTAACAAAACTTACACTGAATGTTCAAGATTACAAATAAATGTCATGTGCCAAACAATTTTGGAAGAAAATGTATGCTGGCTGAGTAATGAGCATAGAAAGATAAGGAAATCAGGGTACTACTAGCCCCGACGCCATGTGTGTTGTCCCATATACATCTTTATGTGTAAGTGATTGTTACTTTACCAAGACTCTGCCAAATTTATGATGATTTTGATGACTCCAGAACCTTGCATTACACACCATTACTTACATGCTATATGATCAACTTTTCTGATCCATTCCACACCTTTTCTTTCACAATGCAATTGCATTACCAGAACTCAAGTTTATCTTTAAATTAAATTTAGCTGGGGGTGGGAAGGGTGGGTGGTGTAGTTTCTGGGAATATATTGCTGTTGTTATGATGAGAATCATTTATATGAGGAGCACATGCAGGAACACTGATGATGAACCATCGCTCTTGTTAGTTCTATGCATGTCCCTGAACTTCCTGAAGTCATACAAATTGTTAAGGTCATTCTTTTTCTTGTTCTTCCGGTAATCTTCAAAGGGCTATCACAGAGATGGTGATGAAGACAAATGATTTTTGATGGGATAAGGCCCTTAGATACCGCTTGAGTAGTTCTTGGTTTGGGTTGGGGTTAAGCCTAAGTGAAGTACTATTTGTCTAGTCCCATCAGTCCAATGTCAGATTCATATTTCGTAGGGTCCATCTCTCCCATGAGCCTTGTGTCATTGGTCCTGTTATGAATGGGCTTTAGTTTGCATTGGACCAGTGACATGTAGGACCAACTTTGCACATCCAAGTTCTTCTGTCCTATTCATAGTATTGTCTGTAAGAGGGCATGTACACTGTAGTTGGTGCCATTATCGTAAAGCATGGAAACTCGTATTTTTCTGTCCTTTCACCCATGCAGGGTTACCTTGTAAACTGGGACGTGCAGAGGCAGGTATGGGACTACATGTTTGGCAAAGAGCTCCTGGGACTGGAATGCCCAGACACGACGGCCGTTGTCACAGAACCATACTTCAACTTCTCGTCCATCCAAGAGGCTATGAATGAAATCTTCTTTGAGGAGTACCAATTCAAGGCCTTGTTAAGAATAAATGGTAAGAAATGGTGTACAGATTTTACAAACGTGGTTTACCAATATCAAAAGTCAACTTTGAAGAATCAAATGTAGGATTTTGTTTGTTTGTTTGTTTGTTTTACCGCTAAGTAAGCAGCCAGGGGACAGACGGCAAAGGGCACTAGTGCATTGACTTGGCTAAATTATATGAATTATGAATTCATTTTTTCATTAGCTGCATTTTTTTCCATGGGAACAACAATCATAATGTTCCTGTTTTAGAAAGGGAGAGATGAAAAGTTCCAGAGATAAATAGAACAGTTTACATTTGTGCGTTAGGCTCCCCCTCGAAGTTGCATAACACTCAAAAGAACATTATTTAATCAAGGTGTAAACCTGCCCCCCCCCAAAAAAAAGGGCTGACGCCCCCATAGTTTCATGCATATAATTCTGTATAATCCTATCTTAATTGTAAGTTAGTAGACATTCCTAAGGTCATGATTGAAAAGAGCAAGTGGTGTCAAAGAGTGAAATCCAACTCAGCTGCAGCCAGCACATGATGATGATGATGATGACAATGATGACAATGACGATGATGATGATGATGATGATGATGATGAAGATTAAGATGATAATGATTATGACGATGACGATGATGATGATGATGATGATGATGGAGATGATGATGATGATGATAATTGGGGATTGATGATGATTATGATGATGATGATGATGATGATGATGAGGGAGATGGTGATGATGATGATGATTTATGATGATGGTGGTGGTGGTGGTGGTGGTGATGGTGGTGGTGATGATCATCATCTTCATGATCATGATCGTGGTGGTGGTGGTGGCGATGATGATGATGATGATGATGATGATGATGGTGATGATGATGATGATGATGGTTATGATGATGATGATGATGGTGATGATGATGATGATGATGATGGTGGTGGTGGTGGTATTGATAATGATCATCATCATCATCATGATCGTGGTGGTGGTGGTGATGATGACGAAGACGATGGTGATGAACCCTGAAAACTTGACCTACAATACAATCCTATTTTTCTTTACGACTTGTCAATCTTTCAGCGGGTACCCTGAGTGCACACAAGAGAAAGTCTGAAAATCCCGAGCACCGATGTTGCCTCATCGTAGACAGCGGATACTCCTTTACCCATATAGCACCTTATTACAACAGCCAGAAAGTAGCAGAAGCGATATTCAGGTATGAGTAGGCGTGTGTGTAATTTATTTATTTATTCATGATTTCTTTCAACAGGGTAGTTTTATTCAGTTCCACTGGAAGCCAGTGGATCTGCTTTTCAAGAAAGCCCTGCATAATACAATGACAGTATAAAAATAGTTTGTATACATTGCCCGATTAAAGGAGGTTCATTTTTGGATTCATTGGAGTCCAAGCTATCAGAAATTGATGGGGTTCAAATTTTCCCAAAGACACCAAATTTCCCAATTGCGTTTTATATCAGCCATTTTGGCTCCCAATATGGACCCCCGAGGATATGAAGGAGGGGTCTGAAAATTTGAACCTCATCATTTTTGGCCAATTGGGACCCTTTTGAAGCCAAAACAGCAACAACAACAACAAAACAAAACAAAACAAAACAAACAAAATTGGCAAATAAATCCTACAGGATTACATACCATACCGCACTAATAAGGTCTATTTAAAGTGATTTTTGTATAATTAAAAGAACTGATTCTGCAGACAGTTTAGCTTCAGCTAGATTTTACAAAGCACAACACGCATATACAGTCGATGTGCGCTCATTTGACATTGACATTGACATTTCACGTAACCTACTTTGCTATGCTTATTCAAGGGGCAAGTGGGGCAGCAGTAAAAACTAACAATACAAAAGTCCTATCGCAGGGAGATAGTACTTATCTATCATTTATCATGCGACCTCGTTTAGACCAATCAGATTGCAAGATTCTTAGTATGTGGGATATAATATTTATTATCAATTATTTACCAAAAATTATTAAAAAAACTGAATTGTTTTTAACGCCAGTTATGTAATATGTGTGTAATGGGCTTCTTATAGACGTGATTATCAATGAGATTAAAGTCTCGGGACTGACCTTCAACGTGATAATCTGAAATATCAGGCACCTTCAGCACTCCTTGAGATGGATATATGAGCGCATCAGAAATGTTATCAAATTGCAGCATGAGCTCAATCCAGGATTTCTCTTAGAATCTGAGGCAAAGATACACAATCCCTTTAATTTACAATTTTGTACTGTAAATATCACCACTGAGCCTTCTCAGAAATGGTATCTTTCAAGTGATTATTTTTAATTAAATTCTGTCTTGACGCAAGAGGAGAGCTACAAAATCCTCATTATAAAAGAGATTAAACGTTCTGTGACAAACATTTTTTTAAATAAAAAAGGAAAGAAGAAATGAAGTTAAAATCTATAATTTAAAAAAAAACTTAAAAAATTAGAGACACTATACAGTGAAGATGACCAGGGAAATCCCATTATCTTGAAAGGGCAAGGCGCCAAACTTGTGGAATGATATTAAAGTGACTCAGTAACATTGTTGAAGGTTGATGCAAAAACTGTGTAATTTTTGGATGAAATGTTACTGGTATTAAAATCCTGACAAAATTCTCAAACCTCAAAGATATTTATGGTTTTCTTTGAAGACAGTAAATTCTCCCAATCATTTTTGAATTTTCTCAACCACTTTTCCATGAAAAAAATTGACAGGCTTTTAAAAATCTTTCATCACTTAAATGTCTAGAATGGTATATATAGAGCCATTTCATAGCTTTGTGACAATTTACATTCACCTGAAATGTAATTAAATTGTAATAGTATAGTTGGGAGAATTAAGGAATCGATCAGATCAGTTTTTCCCAATTTTATCATTAATAATGGTCTGTTTTCACTCAAACTTTCAGATTAGGTTTAATTGTACATCTAGCATTGAAGTCACTACCTTGGCACCGTTTTCTCTCATCTGATGTTCCAAAGGCCCTTTAATAACACATGCGTAGGAAATATGTGCTCTCACCTCACCAATACGACCTACATATCAAATTATTTACAAACCTCAGCCCTCCATGTAAATCCTGCCTTTTTTATATGGAATTAAAAAAAATACCCCACTAGGCATCCAATATAAGAACATACATGTAGTTCCAGGAATATATTTCAGATGCAGGTTTATCCTAAAGTATCTTCCTTAAAGAGAAAAATGTCAACATGTCTTTAAAAATTTTGTTTTCATGGCTTTATAAGAGTAGGGATTAGCGGTAATAATTGGACCGCGCCTTCTTTAATCTTCCACTTCAGTGATGCTAATTCTCCCGAATCCAAAGCAAGATAAATATTTCTTCTTCTTCTTCTTCTTCTTCTTCTTTTTCTTCTTCTTCTTTTTCTCCTCCTTCTTCTCCTCCTTCTTCTTCTTCTTCTTCTTCTTTTTCTTCATAATAATATCACACCTTCAGTACACAATGCACACCCACCATATTATGAATTCAACTGTATACATTTCATAACCATAATTTTCATAGTAAACTTTTTCTCAAGTGCCAATTTAGAATCTGCATGTCTCAAGTCTCAACAATTCAAGAAAAAAAAAGTATTACACAAAAAAGTAATATCGTCTTTTTTCTGATCTACATGAAAGTCTTAGATTTTTAATCATTGTGAAAGGTCAGCCCTGGTAATATAGATGAAGGCTCTGTAATTTATTTCTGTACAGTTTGGCATTTGATAGAGATGTTGTTGTTGATTGTAGCCATATACTGTATAATAGATCATACAGTTTCAATTCTCAATATAGGTCAACAAAAGTTTGATAAGAATCTGAAAGCATTTCATTTCCATTTCAAATCATCCTTTCTGGAGCAATTATTTGAAAGAGATTATATTTCACTGTCCACTTTAAGCCTTTGACCAGTCACCAGACCATTCTAACAAAGTTTGATAAGAATCTGAAAGCATTTTATTTCCATTTCAAATCATCCTTTCTGGAGCAATTATTTGAAAGAGATTATATTTCACTGTCCACTTTAAGCCTTTGACCGGTCACCAGACCGTTCTAATCTTCAATATAGGTCAACAAAGTTTGATAAGAATCTGAAAGCATTTATTTTCCATTTCAAATTATCCTTTCTGGAAAACAAAGGATAGACTCCAAAGTGAGTCCCAACAATTTTTTGAAAGAGATTATCTTTTACTGTCCATTATTAAAGGTAATACAAAGTTTTGGTATGGGGTCATGAATTTGGTTCAAATTAACATATTGGAAAAATTATGTGATCCTACAATATTCAGTAACCGTTGTCGCTGTTGAAATCGAGTCTAACGTGATGAAATTGTAAATATTAAGCTGTTCATGTTGTATAGCTCCCTCTCATGGTCAAGATATCAATTTAGCTATAAAATAATGTTTCTTGACTAGAATCGACCGATTGGCTATTCCCATTTGGAAATTATATACCACAACTACATATTCTGAGATTTTCATGGTCGCAGCTACCATTGTTTGGCCGTAGGCGCTATTTGAAATTTATTAAAATTTACCGGGAACACCGGTAAATTTTTCAATTCAAATTTTCTCGAAAGCAGAAGTGTTTTAGGGGCTAAATTTTCTGGTGCTTATTATACATCCACAGGGGCATCCAAATATATACAAATTGTAAAGAATCACTATCCAGCCAATTTTCAAAATTTACCAAAACTTTGTATTACCTTTAAGCCATTCACCAGACAGTTTTAATTCTCAATATACATATAGGTCAACAAAGTTTGATAAGAATCTGAAAGCATTTCATTTCCATTTTAAAGGCATCAATTAACAACGTTAAATCTGAGATGCATGGCCCAACGTGTTATCAGTGTCTGTGATATGGTGTAACAGTGAAGCGCTAAAAAAAAGTGCACTTCAAAATGAACATGAAGTGCCTCAACAAAGTAAAAATCTTTGAGTGATCGGTTTTACCATACTCATTTTCCCCAATAGACTGTAGTGTTATAAAACCGTTAGGAAATTGAAGAATGAAATTTGATTTCCAATCATAAATATCTTGATAATCAGACATACGATAGGCTTGTAAAAGTCATAGGGCTCCTGATTGACTTAAAGGTTTATAATTATCATTGCAGCATTAGCTAAATCAAGGATTTTTAAAAAGGATCGAGGACAAAGTTACTGGATCCCTGTAAGCCTATGGCCAGACAGTTTTAATTCTCAATAAAGGTCAACAAAGTTTGATAAGAATTTGAAAGCAATTATTTTCCATTTCAGCTCATCATTTCCAGGAAAAAAACATGGAAAATAGACTTATTTAACAGAATTAGTTTCATACTTTGAAAGGGATTATGTTATGTTGCCCACTCTGTCTTATAGACAAGGCAGACTCAAACATTATTTCAGGTCATATCTGACTTAGTTTATTCCATATTTTGAAAGCAGTCTGTTCCTGTTTAAAATCATCATTTCAGGATAAATGTGGGAAGCAAAATCTTAACCAATGATTTGCAAGAGTATATCGTATCTCATCCCCAGCACCTCGTGGCTGAGAAAGTTGTATTCTTTAGAATTTACAATGTAGGTCATGTCCAATAACATTTTATGCTTTACAGAGATTTTGTAAGCATGGTTTTTCTTTCCTGTTTTAGAATCAATGTCGGGGGGGGGGGGGGATAAAACTCATAAAGAGAGCTTTTTTTTCATATCGTCAGCTGCTAATCAAACAGTTTTCAATACTTGCTCTCATATCCAATACAGTTTGACAAATATACATGTAATACTACCGGTATTGGGCAATATATTTGTGCTTTCAATCGTAATTTCAGGATCAACGTCATATGAGAGAGATTACTGTATATTGTATTGTCCGCTCTACATGTACGTCATAGATCAAACTATTTTAATTCTTGTGGTACATGGTTTGTCAACAAAGTTTGATACAGATTTTGGAGGCATTTTATCTGTTCTTTTCCAGGGTGGTAAAACTCCTCACCAGTCATTTGAGAGGGGTCATTTTTTTTGTATCATCATCTTCTCCTCATGGAAGAAACGGTCATGATTGATTATTTAGGTCACGTCCAACAAAGTTTGATAAAGGCATTAGACTTTTTTTTCTCATTTAAAAAGTCATTTCAGGGTCAACTTTGGGGACGAAACAGTTATGATCAAATTTTAAGGTGATATCCAACAAAGTTTCATTAAGGCATTAGAACTCTACTTCTGATTTTTAATGTTATTTCAGGATCAACATCAGGTATAACAATCACAGTTACAGTCATTTGTAGGTCATTGAGGGGGTAAACTTTTAAAGATAAAGTTGAGTTCTGGTCATGTGATTGCATTGTGAAAGAAAAGGTGTGGAATGGATCAGAAAAAATGATCATGTAGCATGTAAATATTGGTGTGTACTGCAAGGTTCAGGAGTCATCAAATTCATAATAAATTTGGCCCAGTCTTGGTAAAGTAACAAGCACTGTACTGTACACAGAATGATGTATATGGGACTACACAAACATGTAGCATAACAATCTGTCCAATATTTATGATGTTACATGTACATGCCATATTTAGAATATTATGGCATTTGAAGAGCGATGCTTTTCAGGGAGCATTTTTTATCTCATGTTCTTCCACACTTGCATTATACAATGATATCACTCACAAATTATTTTTCATCTCCTCTTTCTCTTTAAATGTCATTTCAGGGTCAACGTGGGGGGTAAACTCTTGACCAATCACCTGAAGGAGATCATCTCGTACCGTCAGCTGCATGTCATGGATGAGACGTACGTCATGAACCAGGTCAAAGAGGACGTATGCTACGTGTCATCCCAGTTCTACAAAGATATGGAGATTGCCAAGTAAGTCCACGGGTAGCCCTAGATGTGAATTGTTGTTATTATTGTAATTATTATCATAGTTATTATTTTTATTATTGCTGTTGATCATCATAGTGATCTGTCAGTTTATGGCAGGTTCAGTGACCCAATCAGAATTCTACATCAAGCTTCTCCACAAGTACCTCGGTCTTGAGCCATCCGTTTCAGCATTTCATATCCTGTTACTCCACATTCTGTGATTAAATCATCTAGAAAGACTTTACGAGGGCTTCCCCTCTTCTTCTTTCCATGTAGACAACCTAGATTTGATGATCTAGTGGGTCAAAGGTTATCTGTCCTCTGTTATCATTGGTCAAACAGTTTTGAGCATCAAGTAACGCCTAGCTGGAATGCTCCCCAGGGAGTGGAGATTGTGCACACAGTGTGTGCGGGCAAGTATTGAATCCAATGACCAGGGTAATAGTATATCTGTAAAGCGCTTCGAGACATTATAGTTGTATTAAGCGCTATATAAAAGCGGAATTATTATTATTATTTATTTTCAGGTTAAAAGGAAAAGAAAACACAGTTTGCCGAGAGTACGTCCTTCCGGACTTCCACACTGTTAAGAGGGGCTTTGTGAAAGAAGACGGTAGCAAGCAGAAACCCAACGAACAGGTACAGATAAATCTTTAAATCACTTCCCGACTGACTGTAATACGTACTGTACACTGTATGATAGCTGGAAAAAACAAATCACAGTCAAACCTGCTTTAAGCCTCGGTCACAAATGCCATTTTGAACAGCTACGAACGCCGTACGAACGATTTTCAGACAATGGAAATTCGGGATGACAATGGAAAAACAGGGGGATTCGTACCAAATTATCGTTCGTACGAACCTTTGTGACCGTTACATTAGTGACCACCTGCCTACAAAGACCACATTTTTTGTTTCCCTTGAAAATGGTTTCTCATTGAAACATGTACTAAAGGAACCTGTCTACAAAGACCACTTTGTGTGTTTCCCTTGGGAGGTCGCTATAGACAGGCTCGACGGTAATTGGAAACACCTTGGTAGAAAACATTAAATGGAATAGCATTGAGGTATATTTTATTGTAATCGTCGAAAGACTTATATTTTTTGTTTTCAGCATCTAAAGATACCTCATTTAAAGCATTTTCTCAAATTTAGTCAAAGTGGGTTGTTATGTGACTTCTGAATTGCCATTTCTTTTAATTGTTATAAATAGACTTGTTTAATTATCATGCAATATTTTATAATCCAAACATGTCTATTTGAAAATGCATTCTACTACTGGCTTCCACTGTACAATTAATCTTGTAAAAATCTTTCCAATTGAATCAAATATAAATAATTGCCTTTTAACATTATGTTTTTAATGCTTAGCGTCACCTTCTCCTTTTTTCATAATTTTTGTGTCAATGTACATTCAAAGAATTCAAAAGTGATTTTAACAATGAGATATTATTGGTCGTAAAGGAGTAATATTGTTTAGTTATTTACAATAAGCAATGTAAATATTCCCATTTAAATGTTTGGAAATAATTTCCCCTTTCTTTTTACTGCAGATTGTCCGCATGAACAATGAGCGTTTTGCTGTCCCGGAGATACTCTTCCACCCCTCAGACATCAGTATACAAGAGAAGGGGATCAGCGAAGCCATCGTCCATTCCATTAGTGCTACACCAAAAGGTAAACAGAGTGGTGAATAAGGTCTTATTATTCAATCCCTAAGTAAATATTTATGATTAAATGATTATTAGACCATATAAGTATAGTAGACACAATGGGAATTAGACAAACTTTGATTTTTTTCTCAGTTTTACTCACCTAATGTGAATTTTAAAAATTTTCATTAAGAAATATATCATCATTATAGTTTGCCATTACACATTTTCTAAGTTTTCCCACCTGGTGTGAATGGGCGCCGCAGACAAATCACCAGTCTGCAAACCTGTATTTTTTTTTGTCACACAAGATGCATCCTCATCTCTAGGGTAATAACGTTTTTTTCTCAAAGTTTTACTCACCTAATGTGAACGAGACCGCAGAAAGCTCAGCAATTTATGTATTTGATTTTTCACACAGAAATATATCATCATTATAGTTTGCCATCACAAAGTTGTTCCCACCTCGTGTGAACAGACCTTGATTTTTCACACAAAGATGCATCTCCACCTCTTCTGTAACAATGTTTTTTTTTTCTAAAGTTATTCCGAAATGTGAATCGGCCCGCAGAAAGCTCACCTGCATGTACATGTATTTTTGCTTCTCACACAGAGATGCATCCCCACCTTTACCGTAACATCGTCCTGACCGGCGGCAACTGTGCCTTCCCTGGGGTCAAGGAGAGGGTGGAGAAGGACGTCAGGTCCCTGGCCCCCGTCGAGTACGATGTCCAAGTCACGCTTCCACCAAAGTAAGCATGAAACTTTGATTCAAGGATGCATTGTTTTTGGTGTATTTCGGGGAGATATGATCTTTTGATGTTTTTACATTTTAGTGTTTCTATCAATCGATAATTGTTTAAAATGTAGTTGTTGAGGGGGAGGTGGATGGATTTGGTCTTGATGATAGCTGTCCAGGAGGAAGTAAATATTTGATTTGATAGTTTAGTACCACTTTTGTGTCACATAAAAACAAACAAATATCGAAAGGAAAGAAACTATTTTTAATTCAGTTTTATATTATTTGTAGCTTATATCTAACATGTTCATGTTATCAGCTCTACTCTATCTTCAATGAATGTTGAAATTGTTTAGTGTCAACCTGTTCCAATTTTCCATCAGGGTGTAAAAGTTTGTATAATATTCTGATGATTTTGTAGTCTCAAGTTCGCCATTATATGTAGGACAAAGAACAGAATTCTAACTAGGATATATAAAAAAAAAAATACTTCATGAATCAAATTTGTTTTCAGGTGATGAAGCATCTACAGTACATCAATAACAATGCCAAGAATTTGTGAATAAGTTGTCATTTTATCTTTTTTCCATTCAATTTTTTACTTTTCAGCCCCGTGACGTATGCATGGGAAGGAGGGAAGACGATGACAGAGTCCAAAGAATTCTCCAAGCTGACCGTCTCCAAGAAGCAGTATGAGGAAGAAGGCCAGAACATCTGTTTTGACAAATTTGACGTCTGATGTCGATGTTTAGTTTCAAAAGGACTTAAATCCTGTATTTGGATCGATTCTTGTGGATGTAATGTACATGTACATGTATCTGTTCATGGTTTGATATATTATGCTCAGGAATTCAGTGTTGCAAGAAGGCCAGAAATATAAATGCTTTGAGGAATTTCCTGTCTGATGTCAACGTATTGAACAAATTTGATGTCTGATGCCAACATTCAGTTTCAAAAGGACTTAAATCCCGTATTTGGATTCTTGTGGATGAAATGTACATGTATCTGTACATGCCGGTTTAATATAAATGCTAAGGAATTCAGTGTGGCAAGAAATGTAAATGTCTTGAGGAATTTGTTGTCTGATGTCAAACATATTGAACATTTAGTGTCAAAAGGACTTTGGAGCAGATTGTGTTTGAACTCTTTGGATACATGTATATCCCTACATGACCATTAAAGTACACAGGATTTACGTTTTTGCAGAGAGGTCAGATCATCCGTTTTGAAAAATTTGATGTCTGATGTCAGCCATTCATTTTTAACAGGACTTTACACATCCTGCATTAGGACCTGCTGAATGTGCGTCAGAATCCAGCAAGAAAGATGGAACATCAGTTTTTAGATGTTTAATGTCAATGATGAAAGGACTCTAAGCTGTATTTATACTTCTCATAACCAGCATATTTGTATAAGTTTTTGAGCATCTCCTTCAAATGTGTCCAGTAACATGTTTTAACGGGATCGGGATGTCCACAGACTTTAATAATTGCACAATAGTTTGGAAAAATTGGCCCCTACTGCACAGATTAAACTTGCTGAATTCCCCCCTACCTCCATGTGAATTTGCCTATGAATAAAAGGTACTTAAAACCTGTCATTTTGAAGCCAACTTAAGGCTACTTGTCTACCTAACTATTTCAACTACACCTCACTGTATTTACTTCTTATCTGTGCGCAAGAGAAAAAAAGCCTTGTAGAATCCCTCCATAGTAGTCCCTATCCATGTTTTGCTTTAGTGGATTTTATAAAGACTAGTTTGACTGTCCGACCAGTCTTCAAGACCATAGCGTGTTAATGCTCTTCTGTCTTGAAAATAGACAATATCGTCTGTAGAGAGCCGAAAATGGCGTAAACTCTGTATTCAAGCAGGAGTTAACACACTTCTGGCTCTCAACAAACAATACTTTTGTATGATGATGTGTACATAACTGCATTCCTTGTAAATATATTTCGTAATAAACACACAGAATAAATGATCAAATGATTTCTTTACTTTATTGCGGGTACATATGGAGTGTTAAACATTGATACACACACGATTTTACACTTGACAAAAATACAGTATACACAGTGCGAGAGGATTTGGCAAGCTTATTCAACAGATATACATGTATATATATAAATTTACAGTCAAAATTATGCAGTTGATTCAAAGATATTATATTACTATTCACATGATACTACTAGACTACTGTTTCATAATAATATTACAAATTCAAGTGAGTTTTCTAAGACTGATGCTACAGACAAATCATCTGAATACAATAACTGAACAATAGTTTATATTGACCATATATACAGCAATAGTACATGTTACAACCTACACTTATAGCTTTGTGCAGTATCTTTGGAAAGAAAGTACATTGTACAGTGGAACCTCACAATACTGTTCTTGGGACCAATTAAAGTACCCTTTTATATTGAAATGTCTTTATATATCAGGGTTAAAATGTACCAATCACCACAAAATATTTGCTCTGTATGTCGTAGAAGTTGCACATTGGTAAAACTACAATTTATATTGAAGTCATGAGCCACAAAATGTCTTTTCAGTAATAATAGTTATAACAGTGCTTAGAAAGTGCTTTCCACCCGTGATATTGCAAGTTTCAATACACACTAAATGAGCATGAAAATGACTTGTGGGTGCACTAGTCAACGCAATTGTTCGCATGTGCATGAAAGAGGGCACATGCAGGACCCAAGTCTGACTGGGGTTCTACTCAATCTGTGAAAGGGGTCTTGGATTATTCTTCATTTTCTCCAACCTGTTTAATAACCCATAGAATGCCAGGTCAATCGTTTTGAAGTGGATTTTGTATGTACACTGTACTAGCTATACACAAATTATATTTTTAAGGGGGTTGGTACACTTTAAATCAATAACAAAGTTTTACAAAGAAGCAGGAGCAGCAAAAATAACTTTGTTATAATGAGTTTGTTTTGTGCTATTTGCATTTTTAAAAAAAGAAGTCCTCTGTATTACATGTAAAGAACTTCATCGCTTTCACTAAATTCTGCTTTTCATACCATTAAATTTTATACAAGATAATCTTGCATTAATAAGGTTTTAGCAAACTGGTTATACTAAAAGCATTGTTAAGCTAACTGAAGCATACCAATAATTAATGCACTAGTCTATATAAATGAATTATTATTATAATTATTGAACTAGTGGATAATTAAAGATTACATGTAATAAACCCTGTATAATTTGCTTTGAGTTCAGAATGGATTAAATACATAATCTTCTCAAGTAATGATAGCTGGATTTATATTTAAAGGGATTGGGTATCTTTGCCTCAGATTCTAAACAAAATCCTTGATTAAGCCCATGCTGCTTGCAATCATTATTAAGTTTAGGTCAGTCAAAAATCCCATGACAAGCCAATCTAATTATCAAGATATTTATGATTGGAAATCAGAATTTAAAAAACTGTTTTCCCAACGCTTTTTTAATAAAACTACAGTCTATTGGGGAAAATGTGTATCGTAATACTGGTCACCCAAAGATTTTTACTTTTTTGAGGCACTTCATTTTGAAGCGTTTCAATATTACACTATATCACAAACATTGATAACATGTTAAACGATGCCTTTAAACCAGTGGGATTTCAAAGATAACATGTAATAAACCCTGTATAATTTGCTTTGGGTTCAGAATGGATTAAATACATAATTTTCTCAAGTAGAAATACATGTAGTTAGATTTATATTTAAAAGTCCACATATTCATATATTCTCTCTCAGGTGACGTGGGAGTACAAGTCATTACTTCGGTAATATTTGCTTTGATGGAATTAAGTGTGATTAATACTCTGAATCTAATTAAGTCATTTAGGGCCTTAAAATTTGAAGACTCCCTTACTGGATAATAGCACATGTACGATAACTCTTATCCGAGACTTCAATGTAATCCACAGAACTGCTCAAAGGGCTTGAGGTAATCCTTAGATTCTCTTCAAAATAGCAACTCCATGTCACACATGTGATCATTTTTCTATTTCTATCCATAATACATGTATCTACATAAGATGAGGTTTCAGTGGTACTGTTAGTGACATTCCTCCCCTAAAATGGATGAACTATTAGTATGAAAACTTTATGGCACAGGGGAAAAAATACCTCCAAAATTTCAGGGGCTACTTTTCAAGCTTGCTTGCATGAAAATAACATTCTTTAATTTGTTTTTGCATTGAACTCTATGCAAATTTTTCGGGGCTCTTTTATGACTTTCTGGGGCTTTTGGGGGCTTTGGGGGAGCATTTCACCCGAGCCCCCGTGTATTTTTTTCACAGATATGCCATCAATAACATCTACATGTTCCTACGACAGCTTTCATCAATAAATTTACAAGTCAATTTTTCTTCCATCATCGATGCTACTAAAAATTGATAAAAAAATGATTTCAAAAAAATAAAATCTGGAATAAAAACTTATCATAAATGATGAAGTCTATCATTAATGATCTGTATACCAGCCGATCGACACAACGTTACTTTTCGGAAGAAAAAGATCCCTCACTTCTACCAGTCTGAATTCAATAATCCTTAGTCTTCTCTGCAAAATGGCAACCCACAGATGTCATTAAAGCGATCAATATACCATTTGTTTTCCTTCCAGCTGCTCTACAGACGATATTTTTAATCAGTCTGCTCCGAAATAGATTTATTATTTGAAAACAATTACATGTACATGTAAGCCATCATTCTGTTATTTCTATTGTCTGGATGTTGCTACTCCAGTTCCATAAATCCATTCATGAATGTTTAATGACTGATAAATCTGCTAATGATTGCCTAAATGACACCAAAAAATTGGAATAGAGGGCAATTATCCATAGATATAAATTGCAGGTATTAACAGCCTACACTACCACCCTCTTGTGTGGAGAGAGAAATACACTGTACATGTAATTAATGAATAAATAAATAATAAATAAATATATTCATCTCTTCTGTCAATCATCTACTATGATCTACAAAATGCTGAGTTTCATATTAAAATAAATTGATCTCGATTTGCTTTAAAGGTAAAGACCAGTATTGGAAACGCCCCAATTTCAAAAAATGAAATGGAAGCTCCTATTACCAATCATGTGAAAGAATATGTTTTGAATATTACATGATGATAAAAATTTTGACGGGAAACCGCCTACTAATTGATATATTTGGTAAATTAGTGTATCTCTTGCCTGTTGAGAGATATGAAATGCACGTGTCGCGCACGTGTGTGTAGTCCCATATACATCTTTCTGTGTACAGTGCTTCTAACTTGATGAAGACTTGGCCAAATTTCTTATCATTTTGATGATTCCAGAACCTTGCAGTACATCTATGCTAGATGATCAACCTTTTCTGATCGATTTCACAACGTTTCTTTCACAATGCAATCGCATGACCATAACTGGTCTTTAGCTTTAATGCAAGCGCAAACCCTTGTCAGTCGTGCATGCAAAAAAAAATGTGGAAAAAATACTTGCTGTTCAGGAACAAAATTTGCAAATGTTTTCTGGTTTTAAACAACTTTAAGGTAAAGACCAGTTATGGTCATGCGATTGCATTGTGAAAGAAACGTTGTGGAATCGATCAGAAAAGGTTGATCATCTAGCATAGATGTACTGCAAGGTTCTGGAATCATCAAAATGATAAGAAATTTGGCCCATTCTTCGTAAAGTTACAAGCACTATACACAGAAAGATGTATATGGGACTACCCTATATCTCTCACAGACCATGAGAGAAACAAATTTACCAAATATATGAATTAGTAGGAGGTTTCCCGGCAAATTTTGTATCATCATTTATTAGTCAAAACATATTCTTTCACATGATTGGTAATGAGAGCTTCCATTTCATTTTTTGAAATTGGGGCGTTTCCAATACTGGTCTTTACCTTTAAAACTATTTCAAAGTAGATTGAAGCAAGCCTTAAACAGACATAAGGATGAACTTTTCTTTAAGAAAATGCAAAGGCGATGATTGTACTTCTTTTCTTTTGTCTCAAGACTTTAAAATTCTTAGTGTCAATGACCCTGCCACTTCAGAAGATGAAAAAAATTGTCAAAAAAGCACTTTTAACTTTGTATACCGGTAGAAATTTCTTAATGTCTTGATCACTATCTTTCCTCCTACGCAATTTTCTGCAATTTCCTCCATGAATTTCTGAGTGTAATTCCCTCTTTTCCCGCTCTACCTTTATCTCTTGGGGTATTGATGCCTAACCTGACAATAAAAATGCAATTATACGTCATTGCACCCACTACGAAAGAAGAGAAAAACAAATTTTATTGACGTCTTGTGCGTGGAGCGAGGGAGTGACTTCAGATAAATAGTGTTCGGTTGAATGTCCTCTACAGGTAAAACTAAATTTATTTTTAAAAAAATTAAAAATCAGAACCTATGAGCCTAGTTTCGTAAAAATTGTTATCAATAACAAGTAACAATAACTGGTATATGGTACTGAATTCGAGGCATTTGATTGGCTGATAGCAAATTTCTCATTTGTGAAAGTTTCAACTAAATCCACCTCGCAACTTTTTTCCTCGGCCAGCTAGCATCAAATAAAAAATACACGTCAGAGTATCAAACGTTTCATTAGAAGTTGTTACCATGGCGATAAGTAGCCTTGCGACTTACTTTCACCCATCAAATCTGCTCCTAAAACCTTTCCCTGTATATGTTTATGGCCTGTAATCTGGATTCACCCCAACCTACTTCTGTATGACGGCACAGAGATGCAATTTGGAAGAAGAAAAAAACATGGTTACCATGGTATTGTTTTATAAGGGATAAGACTACCAAAGATATAATAATTACAACAAAAAAATTAATTAAAAACATCTGTAAGACCTCATCAACAACCGAGTTCATAAGAGGGCAATGTAACTTGATTTGCAGCTTGCACCGTTTTTTGTTTATAACTCTGATGGATTGTAATCCGGATTCAACCCAACCTACTTCTGTAATAGAGTGAATGACTACAAAACGGTCTCTAAGACATCTACAAGAGAGCTGGTAAAAAGAAGAAGCCATTGCTTCCAACTCGTGCTATTCAATAGTTTTTATTAAAGCCTATCTGCACTAGTTCGGCCAGGAGGGATTAGACCTCCCTGCCCGGTCATTGACAGGTGGTTATCTCATCAAATCAGTTCTCAATTAAAGAAAAAGGGACCATGGGGGACCAACAGGTACCACGTAGGTATTGTTTACTATACAGAGGGCGCAATTAGCTACAAGTAGTGCAGTCCCGCTTTAAAAGGGGACCATGTACCATCAAAATAATGTGTACCTTCTTGTAAAAAAAGTACACTCTCATTACAGATTTACAATGAGGCAATTTTTTGGGCTATCCCACTTCTTTGCAATCTGTTTAGTTTTATTTCGTTTGTTCTGTTTTGTTGTTGATATTGTTGTTTTGTTTTGCCTTTAAGCCGTGCTATATAAAGGTTTCAATATAACAAGGTGATATCTTGGTCCTAAGGAGTGTGTTGCAGTAAGGTGTCATTGTATACTTTTAGGTGACACAAATGTCTCATAAAATTTAGCTGACAATCCATGCGTTAAGGATTACAACAGTTAAAAGGGGAAAAGATGTTATGAATACTCTTGAGAACTTGACTCTGACTTTAAACTTCCCAGCGAGTCTAATCTCAAATCTCTAATCATATATTTTGATGAGGTTGGTGCTTTCAATGTTATACAAACACAAATAAAAGTAAAATAAATATCTCATTTGGTTAGTGGTTAGAGAAGGATTAAAGTTGATAAAATCAGGTTAAAAACTGTCGAGAAAAAAAATATTAGTAAAAAATTGTGAAAGGATTGCTTTAAGAATTCAAATATGAAATGTACAAATCTTTGCACCTGCAGCATCAAGGTTTAAAAGATTAAAGTACATTTCAATGTTTAAAAACAAAAGAAAACTGGAATCATTCAATTCAAAAATACATATCAATAAAATTGTCCACATCCTTGTTTTACTACATGTATTAGGGCTGAGGAAAACTGCATCTTTAGCAACCATCTCATATTCTTGCCCGAGGTTCCAAGCATTGAACTTCCTTGCTACAGAACAAATAGCCTTTGAGGTTGAGTCCCTATGTCACTCCACAATATCAAACTCTCAAACAGGGACCTTTTCACAAAAACTGAGGATGGGGAAACTATTAAGCATCCACAGGAAAGTGATCAAAATCTTGACTGTACACACATTTAATGCATCATGTACATTTCAGATTGTAAAACTTAGATGTATATCACGGTGTGCATCACAGAAATGAAGGTTAGTAGTTAGTATGCAATAACTGTGCAGTCCTTGGGGGCCACATGCTCCCAGAGTACTAGAACAATGGTGAAATTTCTACTTGATTCCTATGAAAATAAAGAAGTTAGAACATTTTACACAACCTGTCACCAACAAGCAGGATTTTGATAACAAGATGTAAGAATATAATGGCAAAGGTTGCCCACAACTTGTATTTAAAAAAGAAAATTCACTGTCAATAATCGGAAAACTACGAAGTATGAAAATCAAGGAATATAGAGAACGTGTGAGAATATATAGACAAATATATGGGCAAAACATAGAAGGGGGAGATGTACTTTTAGGCTGTATATAGTATCCCCATTAAATATTTGATACATGATTTGGCAATGGTAGTGTTCTCATTGATATTACAGCTCTGTTGTTGATGGATAAAGCAAAATGGAATGATTTTGAGCATATTGTATAAAATACTAAGTATTCATATTTGAGGGAAATGGAATGAATTAGAGCATATATCTGCAAAGGGTTTCTTGTATATTTCAGGGAGGGGTTTTCAGAAGAATTTTAACGTATGCTAAGTTTTATTTTTATAGGCACACATGTAACAGATATACAATTTGGCAATGGTACCTGGAGAAAGTTTGATGTAGACTTAGGGAAAGGTTTTCTAAAGTAAAATGTACTTTCAACTTGTGCTTCTTTTGTCTAAAGCCGGGGTAATAATATCACTAGGAGGCCCTCAGGGAGAACAGTTTTAATACCAATGAGGCAACCCTGCGTAAAGAAAACAGGCTGCTATTATATGAAACTATGGAAACATTATTGCTCTAGTATACTTAACAATGTTGATTATGATGTTGATATTGACATTCACGAAACATGCTAGAAGATACTAGAGCATGTCTGCAAATTGCCTGTTGTAAATGTCTGGATGGGCTTTCTGAAGCAGTTTGAGCTTTTGCTTCTTCTCCTTCAAGGATAGCTTGGTGTTGTCGATGATGGTGTTCATGAGATTCCGCATGGCGTCTTTAGTGTAGTACTAGTCTTGGAATATATACTAGACCATGTCTGCAAAGTGCTTGGTGCATTGTAGACCGTTAGATGGGCTTTCTGAACTTCTGAATCAGTTTCAGCTTCTGCTAATCTCCTTCAGAGTAGTTTGGTGTTGTCGATGATGGTGTTCATGAGATTCCGCAAGGCCTCCTTGGTGAAGTAAGTACTGGTCTTCGAAGATACTAGAACATGTCTGCAAAGTGCTTGTTGTAAACCTCTGGACGGGCTTTCTGAAGCAAATTTAGTTTCTGCTTCTTCTCCTTCAAAGATAGCTTGGTGTCATCGAATCGACGATGGTGTTCATATGATTCTGCAAGGCCTCCTTGGTATACTACTTGTCTTGGAATATACTAGAGCATGTCTGCAAAGTGCTTGTTGTAAATGTCTGGACGGGCTTTCTGAAGCAACTTTAGTTTCTGCTTCTTCTCCTTCAAAGATAGCTTGGTGTCATCGAATCGACGATTGGTGTTCATAAGATTCCGCAAGGCCTCCTTGGTATAGTACTTGTCTTGGAATATACTAGAGCATGTCTGCAAAGTGCTTGTTGTAAATGTCTGGACGGGCTTTCTGAAGCAACTTTAGTTTCTGCTTCTTCTCCTTCAAAGATAGCTTGGTGTCATCGAATCGACGATTGGTGTTCATAAGATTCCGCAAGGCCTCCTTGGAATAGTACTTGTCTTGGAATATACTAGAGCATATCTGCAAAGTGCTTGTTGTAAATGTCTGGATGGGCTTTCTGCAGCATTTTCAGCTTCTGCTTTTTCTCCTTCAGGGATAGCTTGGTGTTGTCGATGATGGTGTTCATAAGATTCCGCAGGGCTTCCTTGGTGTAGTACTGGTCTTCGACCTCAAACTGTTCCGTTGTCACCATCTGGCAGAAGACCACTTCAGACAGAATAAACAAAACGGATAGGAGTTGAGAGAGAAAACAGAGTTATGAAGAAGAAAAAAGCAATATAACGTAGACCAAAATGTTCATTAAGCCATATTCTATGCTTGATTTTGCAATTACATGTATACGCTATATCCATTTTCATGATATAAAAAAGAAAATAACGGCGATATGCCATGTTTAATAGCAAGTATTCACTTCCAGCAAAACAAATTAAAAACATTTGCTTTCTTATTGAAAACCTAAATACATCTCATCACAAGGTGGCGCTGTTTATTCACCATGTTCTATCACAATAGAATTCTCTCCTCTACATCGGAAAGTGGAAATAATGTGTCCAGGAACATACTTGATGGCAGATGCATAACGAATTTTAGAAGCATGTTCTTGATGGACAGAAATTCAAGGAGACAAAAGATTCAACATTTCGTCAGCCGGGTGGCAGAAGGACATTAGCGCGTGAGTGACTCGAAAACTACTTTTCAAATTATTCGCATTTAAAGATTTGTTTTATATTTAAACTGCTTTCCGTCCCCAAAATTGGTTTAAAACATAAAAGATTAATAGAAAAGTTGAAGTAGAACACGGCCAAAAAGAAATTCTTGGAAATAAGTCAGTTTTATAAAAGTTTGAGGCGATTTAGTGCCAACGCCCTTCTGCTTAAAGTTTCATTGTTGACCTGAATTTCGAGCTAACGTACTTCTGCCAGCCAGGTGACGATTTATTCTTGAAATCAGAAAAACTGATTTGTTAACGCCTAAACTATTCCTGCTAAAAGCGATCAGAAAAATAGAAATTCACAAATCTAAAAATTGACACAAATAAACTGACAGTTAACATTAATCAAAACTGTATAAAAGATGAGAGATATAAGTTTGAAACTAATCACAGGACTTGTAATCGTTTTTGATGTACCGCAGCTCTAACATCACAGGTCCCAGTTCCCTAAATTTGCAACAAACTTAAATTCACAATCATTTATTTCACTCAATAAAAATAATGAATGTGTACATCAATTAATTATAAAGTGAAGAAAAAAAATACAAAACAAAGAATTTACAATATATAAATGCAGAGTAGCAAAAAAATACGAGACAGAGATCAGGTTTAGTGAGGACCAGCATTGAAGATTGAAAAACTTAGTTTTGGAGAAGAAGAAGAAGAAGAGGGGAGGGATATTATTTGAGATAAGTTCTTGAGCTTTGCTAGAAAAGAATTAGAAAATGATGAAAGGACTAGAGTATGTGGAGGGCCATAAATAAACTGAACAAAACACTGTCCATACCTCTGCAGTGGTCCTGTTCACCCTGTTTAGCCTGCGCCACGCGCGTTGTAACCGCTTGAAGAACTGCCTCCGGGACCTTGAAGATCTTATTCTGGGTGTCCAGGAAGAAGGACACCAGGTTCTTGGCTTGGACGGCCGACAGGAGAGGGCTGGATATGATGGCCTCCTGGAGGGTGTTGCAGACGTTGGTACGATTGTCCACCTGCCAAGAACGAGAATTCAGAAATGACATTATTCCCAATGTCTACAGACAGGACTTACAATTCTTGAGTATCTGTCCACCTGTCAATTTCTAAAGGGGAAGCCAACCTTTTAAAGGCATCGTTTTTAAATCTGAGATGCATGACCCTGCGTGTTATCAGTGTCTGTAATATGGTGCAATATTGAAGCCCTAAAAAAATTGCGCTTTAAATGATCATGAAGTGCCTCAAAAAGTATAAAGATCTTTGAGTGACCGGTTTTACCATACTCATTTTCCCCAATAGACTGTAGTGTTATAAAAACTGTTAGGAAAACAGAAAATTTGATTATGATTTCCAATCATAAATATCTTGATAATCAGACAGGCGATTGGCTTGTAAAGTCTTGGGATTCCTGACTGACCTAAAGGTTTATAATTATCATTGTAGCATGAGCTAAATCCAGGATTGTTTCGGAATCTGAGACAATGTTACCGAGTCACTTTAATACAAGCATGAAAATGAGAGAAACAGGTCACTGAAAGTTTGAGTGAAATCAGATCAAAAATAAGAAACTTATGAACTTTTTAAAAATTGATCAGCACTATCACATTTCTTTACCTGATAGGCCAGCCTGATGGAAGACTTCTTTCCAGCCTCGCCCATGAACCTTAACAGCGCCCTCAGCCGCAGTCGGGTCGCCCCCGGCAACAGGAGGAGGCACAGCTGGGTCAGCTCGATGGCCCGCGAGCCCTTCCCGCCTCCAAGCGCACCGAGGATCGTCGTGACGATATCCATAAGGAGAGGCGTGATGAGGGGTTCTTTTCGGCCGTCGGTGTAAAGTTTGACGATAGTTTGGAAGAGGAGGAGCTTGCGGGCGTGCAGCATCCCCGCCGTGTGGGTTCGGCTGGAGCAGAAGTCGCGTTTCAGGTTATTCCCATCCGGGTGGGCGTCTAGACAGTGGATTGCGGCTCTCAACCATGGGTCAATGCTGTGTCGATGGAACGAATAGCATTATTGCAAATATATCGTACAGGAGGATAATCATGTCATACACAACGTATTATACACTAGTAGTGTATAGAATTGACATACGTATGACCTACAAAGGGTTTCTCACATACATGTATGTGAGATACTGGGAAAATACTGGGAAAATTCTCCTGGAAAGTGTGATTTAAAACGTCTTTTACAAACAGTTTACTTGAAAATCACTCTTTTCAGAAGAATTTTTCCAGTATTTTCCCTTGTTGTTATGTTGTGACGATATCTCTAGTTTCTAGTGATTGAGCTTGTGGAAATTGGGTATATGATTTCTGTTAGTAATACAGTCAAACCTGCTTTTAATAGTGACCACCTGTCTACAAGGACCACATTTTTATTTTCCCTTGAAAATGGTTTCTCATTGAGACATGTACTAAAGAAACCAGTCTACAAAGACCACTTTTTGTGTTTCCCTTGGTTGGTCGCTATAGACAGGTTTGACTGTATATAGAAGTGTGTCTCGAAAAGAGAAACAATTATTACTTGTTGACATCAGGCCTCTGGACATTCCGTCTACTGGACATCCTCTTGGCCGGGGTATTCAGGTTAGGCATAGACTTCTCTACATGCTCTGCAGACTCGTAGTGGTAACTGGCTGCACAGGCAAGCAGATTATCCAGGTGGGGGAGTTCCACAAGATGTAAGATCCTCTGGATGATGACCTCCTTCCAGATTTCACTGATTACTACAGAAACAAAAAAAGTTGCAAAGAATTTTCAATTCAATTCAATTCAATGTATTTCTCCACAAATGCAAAACATAGGAAAATACGTAAAATAAAATACATACTATACATACAATACAATAATAGAACATGTACATCATATATAAAACGACTCCATATGGAGCAATGAGTGATTTCAAGTTTGGTGTTAGTGTTAATGTTAGTGTTTAGAGCAGTCAAGAGCTCTTAAATCGAGCGGAGAATTTGCTGATGAAATTAAGAGCCCAATACTGATATCAAAATCGATAGTTTAACACCAACCGTGACGTCACCCCATACTTGATTTTACGACCATGATTTAAAATTAGTACATCGAAACTAAAGATATCACGAAAAGTACAGAATAAATTTACACCTATTTCTCTGGTCTTAGAAAATAACTAATTTTACACGAAAGAATATAGGAATTATGTGTTTCACATATTTTTATTTGATCGTCAGACAATAAATTGGCGTCCTTCGTGCGTTGAATGTGTGCGGGTACAACACTAACACCGAACTGGAAATCAACATTTGCTTATTCCCTAGGGGCTAGTGTTAGTGAATAGGACATTTGTACGTAAAATATTAACACCAGCCACAAAGGTCGATTCAGCAGACGACAATTTTGCAAAATCGATAACACTAGCTACCGGAAGTTGACGATATTCAGAGGTCAAAGCCTTAACACCAGCAGATTTCCATTTCGGTGTTTAGGCTGGTGTTAGTGTTTATTAAACACTAACACCAGCCTTAAACACCCAACTTGAAATCACTCAATGTGTGTTTTAAAAAGAAACAAAATCAGCAAATGTAGAAGGGGTAGTCAAAAATCAAAATTGATTTGTCGAGGACTACCCCCAAATGAATGATTTTGTTTGCAACAGTTTCATGCTGCCAAATAATTGCATAACAATTGACTCAACACTGTATTTTTCCAATTCGTAAAAAAGGACCAGCTTAAACGTGGTATAAATCCTGCTTTTAAAGGTATTACATGACTGGGTCATGACCCAACATTGACGTAAAACAAGAACCTTTAACTAAGTGCAAGGGAAGATGCTTGCAAATGTTTTGTGCGGCCAAATTGATGCCATGAAATAAGTGAATCATAAACTGATGCAATAGATTTTTGCAATTCACAAAAGATCTATTTTATTTTTACAAATCATGGAATTTTCAAGTTGTAAACGCTTCAGGCTTTACATTATACAAGCAGTAAATTTTCATCATACCTTGTTTAGAAAGCTTCCTCTCTCGCCTACTCTCCCTACCGAAGCTCTTCAGGCCCGGGGTAGCAGCACAGTCCTGTAAGTTGCGGCTGGCAAGAGGCTGACGAGTTGGGGTGACGATGGCTGTGAGGGCCTTTGAGTGGGGGTCTTCAAAGGCGGGGTTTTGTATCCCTTTCATGTTCGAGGAACGCCCCTCTGCAAGGGATGCTCTGAATTATGAATGACAGAGAGAGATAGAGAGAGACAGCAAAAGAGAGGAAAAAGTGGAGAGAAAGAGAAAGAGAGAGGGAGAAAGAGAAAAGAGACCAAGTTAAATTCGGTATGGAAGTGTATCTTCAGAAAAATCCAAGATGTCTATTGCCTTTGTTTTGAAGAACTCTGTCATTTTCTTCAAACAAATTACATGATTCTTACATGAAGGAGATATCAAATCTGTCTGAAGTGCATATACATGTACATGTACATGAAGTATACCAATATAACTGTCTAAACAGGCCGATATTCGTACAACTGTATACAAATATATAGCTATCGGAAGACGTATAGTATTAACCAATCAGAACGCAGAAAACTATGCGACTATACAACTATGCTTCAGACCTGCCAACCTCTGGAGTTCAAAAACTGTATTCTTTAGTGTCAAAAGTTGTATTTTACTGACAAAAGTTGTATTCTTGAAAATAAACACAGATTGTTACGCGGATCAATGCCTCTTACAGTTTCTACCTACAGGAAGAATTTTTTTTATTGATCATTGGTTGAATATGTATTATTTCGTCACGACTGGTGTGTTCGATGAACCAATAAACATCCCCAAATTGCCAATGTGAGATGCTTGTAGGATACTTTACAGGACAGAATGGACATTTTGCCATTGAAAATGGCGGACGCACACACAAATTTTTTTTTTTTTTTTTTTTTTTGAAAATCGTATTTTATTAAGGAAAATCGTACTGTCGTATTTGCTTCTAAAAATCGTACTAAATACGACTAAATCGTACTGGTTGGCAGGTCTGATGCTTCCATCGAAGCACTCGTGAACGCATACATAGTTTCCACATGCAGGGCGAAATGCCATAACTCTGTAAAACTCTATGACTCTATATCTACACAGCCCTCAGATAGACAAATAGTTTTAACCACCACACACCATTACACCTCAACATTATTCTTTCAGGTTGCAATAATTCCATTTCACTTTTTTAGAAGCACAGTCAAAATAAATCAAATGGAATCTAATTTAAAAAAAAGGGGATGGAAGCTGAGGACTTTTGTTACATCATACCTGCGATCAAATTTGGCTGTTCTACCTAACCCAATGCTGTGGCGTATCCTTCTCTTCCTGTCAAAGGGCTGCTGTAACATGTCAATGCTTGCTCTCCTGGTAATGAAAAGAAAACAAAATAAGAAGGAGTTTAGATTCCCACTGTCTTCATCCATCTATAGAATTAGGTTTTCATGGGAAATTTGACACCATTCTGGTGTTGGCCCAATAACAGGTGTTGTCCATCACCAAGTTGTGATTGCTTGCAACTGATATTTGCAATCGATTGCAACTCAACTTTCTTGCAACGGCCCACTAGTCTCCTAAATGTCCTAGGATGTTGATAGTATTACAGTTTTAGTAATGAAATTAAGTTAACTAGATCTTGCTTTTATTCTCCCCTTCTCTCTTTTACTATTGGGGCATTACAAAAGAGACGAGTTGCGATCAATTGAAAATTTGGAATTAATCGCAAGACTTACGCTTGATTTGGGGGATTTTCAATTGATTGCAACGCCCAATAAGACAGATAGGTCTTGTGTTATGAACAGTGCCCTAGCCTGCCATCGTATGGAGTTCTCATCATAATATCAAATTTCCCTCACCCTCAAGATTTGCACATGATGAAGAAAAAAACTGCAGCGGTTTGTTGCTTCATTTCTGAACGAGCCTCTGCAATGAGGTTCAAAACCTTGATAAAAAGAGGACACCTAAACTTTATATTCCAAAATTTGTTTTTTTCCAAGAGCTAAGCTGATTCTCTTTTTGAGGGCACAACGAACTGTTCAATGTGCCATCTCTTACCTTTTGCACGCCTTTGATTTATTGCTAGGTGAGAAGTCTATGGACTCTGTTTGTAATGCTGTTCTTTCTTCACTCAATGATTCCTCATTGCTGTCTTTACTTGTAAACCTAAAGAGAAATTAGAAGGAAAAAGAATTAATAAGTCAAACAAAATACTCTCTTTTCAGAAAATATTTGTAAATGCTTGAGTTACAAATGTATCCTGTGGCAGAACTAATATCCATTCAGTGTAAACAATTACTTTTTTGGTCACAGGAGTTCCTTACAATTTTCAAAAATGTCAGAGTGAGATTTCTGCAATCTTGCCTCACCCATCCCAACTTTCTATTTTGTTACAAAACTGTGAGATTTATATACATTAAACTTATTAAAGTTGCCTTGAAGCTCTTTTTTCTTTTCCTTCTAATTTGATGAATGATATTCACATACTGGGTATGATGAATATATTTGAAAGTTCAAATGAGGTCAATATTAGGCTTGATCTTTTATGAATTTTAACTGCTAATAATTCTTGTAGACATAACAGAACTACTTTCAATTTTGATTCATGATATTGAATAAACAAAATCAAACTATAATGATATCTGATTTTTTATTTGCAATTTCAAAGAAAGGTGCAAAAGCGGAATGCAGAGTAGATCTCTCTGACCATAATATAATTGGTCACTTTTTAATATAAACAAAGCTTGCTTTTACCTGTAATATTGTGAGTTGCTGTCCATAAATACTGCCCTCTTGTGGCCTATGTTCCAAAAGGCTTGTGCATCTTCCATGATGTTTTGGTCGAGAAAATACTGAAAATAAAAAATGCAATTTGTAAGAAAATGATGAAATAAATCAGAAAATATCAATGCAAAAAGTGCCCTACAGATGACACCCTCATACCTCACACATTACAATGCTGTTTCATAATTTCTTTGCTTTCTAGTTTTACATGTAAGTACATTACCCTGCAACTTCAGTTTGACACTAAATCAGGAGTACCACTAGGCACTAAGTACCTATAACAAGCCTAATCCGACAATTATAACCAGTTGTGAACACTGTAGAATTAAATATGGATAATGTATCAGTTTTGTACAGAAACTGCTTATTTCACGATTTTATTTTCAAATCAGTAATATCTCCAAACTTCCATTTCAAATTTCATTGTCATCTTGTAGTGATCCAGATCATGGCCATGAATAGCAATCCTCATAAAAACAATGAAACATATCCGCCATAAAACCCCTAAAATGTATAAAATATAAGAATTCATGAAAATAAAAATGTAAGAAATCATGAAAATAAAAACAATAACTGGAAGAATTTGAATGGATATGAATTAAGAATGATGGACTTTTGATACCTGGCACAACTTTGCAATCTTCTCTCTTGTGACGTCTTTCACATCCGAGTTTTCCCTCTCCAGATAGTCACAGATCACATCCACTGCATCTGACCCCAGGAAGCAATCCTCGTATGACCTCATCATGTGCTTCCTGGTTCGGACATCCACAGCGGTCTTCAGGTGATCAACGATGGCGTTCCACATCTTGGTGGCTCGGAATGGGCCGGGAGCTATTAAACAAATATAAAATAATGCAATTATCATTTATTTCCTAACTTACATACATGTAAAACCCCACTCCAGCAAAGCATAGAGAGTCAAAGCTAATGCCTATTGACCTCTAGCGTTGCACTACGTGCTAATAGGCAGCAATTGCACACACGAATAGTCAATACACAAATAACAAACAAATGCACACAATGATGCTGATGTGGCTGTAAGCAAGTTTGACAGTAGACTCACAATTTAATTTTTTTTAATATTCTTTCTAACATTGGTGAGTTGAAAAAATTGTATTTTACTGCTACATGTATTTAGGTGTCATCAATCGTCACTAAAGTACCGATTTTTAGTGAAATCTGTTGAGTACGATGATGTTTGAAATGTTGAGAATCAATAGAACAGGTTTTAATACACAGCCAGGGTAGTAATGCAGAGCTACATGTATGTGTGGTAAAACCCCTACTAAGGATTTGGAACTTGGAAGCCTGCAAAAACTGATCTCAAAATGTGTTGGTAGCAGCAAAATGAAAGCAGACATATGCAAACTTGAGATCAAAAGACTCTGTGGTTTTCTCTCTATGAGTATGAGTATGAGTGAAAATAGAAACCCTCATAAAACACTTTCAGTTGCAAAATTCATACTTGAAAGGAAAATGATTGCAATTTTGCTAGTAATTATTGTTTTGCCACCACAATATTAGGAAAGTTTTTAATTGTATACAGGCGCCCTTTCACAAGTTTTGAGATGTCCCTTTGCAAATCCCTGCAAAGCCCTCTAAACTAGATCTAGTTTAACTTTAAAGCAACCTAAATTTAAAACGTACTTACAATGTAAGGTCTAGTAGTACAATGCAAGATAAAGCATCCAAATAATTTATAAGAATGAAAAGGAAGTTTAGAATCTGAAGTAGATCTAGACTATTTCATTTTTGTTTGCAACCAGATCGATGGAGAGCCTCATTATCATAATTGCATAACATTAACAATATTGAAAGTAAAGATTAAAACTCCTCCAACAGGCAACAGGACATTTCTTTTACATCGAATTCTCAAACTTTCAAATTCATCATCATATTCCTAACAACACTCAAATCAACAATAGTCAATAGACCTCTACATCCATCATTCATTCATCGTTCATGGATTCATGGTCATCGTAATCTTTATAAATCATGTCAATCATGCCAATTAATCAATCATCAATCTTAACACATCATTAATACATAATAACATTGATATTCTGATTGGTAACGGACAACGAGCTGAGTTCTGAAACGAAACATCAAAGTTCTGAGACGGTGCAACATCAATTTCATCACACTGACACTGCACTCAGGCAAGCGCTCGCTCCGCAGCTCGCAGCTTTGTGCGAACCCCTGCGCTACCTTGGGTGGCGCCTGCGATGGGGGTGGCAATGGACCCGTTGCATGCATGTCGCAACGACGGAAGGCCGAGCCGATACCAAACGGCCATTCTCCTAGTAAATTAATCGCATAAATAAAATAAATAGCTGTTTTAAATGGTAAGATAATTTTGCAACTTCGTCTTACTCGAATTCGGCTGCTCTTCCCCATGAAGATTCATATTATTTGCCGGTTCTGCGAGCATTTGGAATCCAACCAATGTTGCCATTTTGAATTTCCCTGGTTTGAATGGGAGCTGTTACATGTTCTCATTGTTTGTACAGGATGTTGAGGTGCGGCGGAAATTTCAGGAGATATGACACCATTCTTCATATGCTACCATGCATGGCTTAGCTTTGGAGGCGATTTGGACTGACTCGGAGCGGCATGAAATGCCAAAATTAAACAATGTTCCCATTTCCCTCATGTATTCATTTTTTATGTCTTTTATTGTTTATTTCATTTATTCGCTCGATCATTTTCGAATTTCATCTTTTTCTTCGATTTAACATTAATTCTTAGTATAGTTCTCTATATATTGTTTTTATGTTTATGATATGCCTAATAATATTTCATCAACTATTCGATTATATGCGGACGATTGTATATTGTACCGTCCAATTTTCAATGTAGATGATTGCAAGATATTACAAAATGATTTAGAAGTTTTAAGTAAATGGTCTGAAACATGGATGCTCGACTTGAATGTATCAAAGTGTAAAACTATGAAAATGTCTCGAAAGCTTCACGATATAACATATAATTATTCTCTCAATGGACAGGAGTTAACAAATGTAAAGTCTGAAAAATACTTAGGTCTTGTAATAAATGATTCTTTAAACTGGAACGACCATTGCACTGACTTATATACAAAATGTAACAGGATCATGGGAATTATAAGACGGAATTTTGTTAATTGTCCAAAGTCTATTTTAAAAAGTCTTTTTGAATCACTAATTCGCTCACGTTTAGAATATTGTTGTACAGCATGGGATCCCTATAGAAACACACACAAAGAGAGGATTGAACGTATTCAAAAACGTTACGTAAGGATGATGTGTAAGGATTGGTCTACGAGTTATAACGTGTTATTACAAAATGTCAAAATGAATTTATTAGAAAAATAGACGAAATTAGTACCATAGACTTGTTTTTTACTATAAGATTGTAAATAACTTGATTAATGTAGGAGAAGTAAATAGGTGCACACGAGCGAACAGAATAGGAAGAAATGATAATACTTTTAAGATGCACGTTCCATATGCCAGAACAGACTATTATATGAAATCCTTTTATCCCCAAACAATAATGAATGGAATCAACTCCCACAAACAGTAGTAAACAGTCAATCGCTAAATACCTTTAAATCGGCTCTGGTAAAACATCTCAATCTAGATTTTTGAAATAGAAGTGTCTTGCAATTTCTAACTTGTATTTCTGTTGTTGTATTTATATTGAACTATAACCTATGTCATACTTCGATATTTTATGTATCAATATTTACTGTGTAATTATGTATGCCATTTTACTGCCCATATCTGGGATGCAAACCTGTATGGGTTTTTCTAAACCTTGTTTTGTAACCCAAGATATGTATATATTTTTATATTGTCTGAATAAAATCAAATCAAATCAAATCAAATCATATAATGACAAAACCATTTTCCTTCATGCACGGCCCACCTCTCTTTCGCTGATAATGAGTCCCGATATGAGTCCATAAATCTTTTCAATCTTTTCATGATGCCGTGATTCACATTAGGCTTCGTTTTAATTCTCTTCGGGCCAGGATAAATTAGGGAAGATTGCAGGATAGTTGGTGGCTCTCTTTGCATTTATTTTTAACATGCATGTCGTCTCGCAATTCGCAAATACAAAAACAAATCACAAACATAAACAATCATAATTATACAAATTGAACAAACATGCATCACTCCCCACATCGTCAAAAATTCACGATTTTTCTTCTTTTTTGTCTGCCGAAACGTTTTTTCCTGTCACCGATCTTATGGTTCTTCTTGTTGATGTTGTTTTGTTGTTCTTCTTCTTCCTCTTCTTCTTCTTTTTTCTCCTAGCTATTTTTGTTTTCTTTTTCTTCTTCCTATAATAAGGGAGTTTACAGATACAATCTGCGCATGGGCAGATAAAGGTCATTTGTACCAAAAAGGTAAAACCCACAGAGATGAATATATGCGCTCATGAAAGTTATGTAACATTATTCATTTATGCACCAACGGTACATTCTATGATACGCAGGTGGAAGTATTCTTTTCAAGAGGGCAAACAAAAGGTATTCATGAAGCACATCTAGGACGTTGGCAGTTATTATTCTAATATGCTCAAAGTGGAACTTCTCCATGTGTAAAAGATCTGTGGATATTTGGGGTCATTTGTACCATGTGCTATCTGTAAACTCCCTTATAGGCCTAAGTATTAGCATGTCTTCTCCGCCTCGTTTCAAAAACCTATTATGCGCTGAACTTAGGATTACAAGACCGCCATCTCTTGTTCAAATTCTAGAAGAATAGTTATCACAATAATATTTTGTTTTTACTTTGTTACACCAAGTTTCACTCTAACAAGTTACAGCCTCAATCAAAATTATAAGCTATAGATCAGAGCCCGTTTATATCACAATTATTTTTCATTTTCCGAAGAAGGAAGTGAAGAAAGGAGATAAGATAAGAAGAGGAAAAAGAGAAGAAGAAAATAAAGAGAAGGACTGAGTAAGAAAGAAAGAAATGCATTATAAGAAAGAAGGAAAGAAGAAGGTGGAAAGGATAAAGAAGAAATAAAGAAGAAGAATAGGAACAAGAAATAAAGGAAGCAGTTTAAAAACGACAAGAAGAACATGATTGCAAACAAAAAACTTTCGAGAAATCAACTGGACGGCAATTAGATAGCCTATCCAATAGAATTCATTTTCGAATTAAGGCATTCATATCAGAATTATGTATTAGGGCATACGTCATAATCAAATGTTGATGGACAGGGCTTTATAAATTTTGCATACTTTTCCAGCTAATGTAATTGATAGCCCATCTGTAAACTCATTCAAATCCAACCTGGAAAAAGCATGGAGAGCTAATTATGACATGTACAACCCTAAAGAAATGTTTCCTTGCTATTGCATTGTCCGAAGCTCCGACGCAATCCCCAGTACATTATGCAGACATTAATCCTGCTGCAGAAGGGCATACAAGTAATTATACTTGAAGCCCAACATCAAGGTAAAAAAAAAGAGAGAGAAAAATAAGCGATTGATGAAGGACAAAATAATCAACATTTTGTTTTTTTACAAAGAATGTGTCGTATATCGTACATTCTTAGTAAATTTGTAAAATTTAGTTAATATTTGAAAAATGGGGACATACATGTTTGTTGGGTAAAATATTATATATCAAATGGGCCTATATACTATATACTGTACACATTTTTACTCGATTCTGTGTCCCTTTTACCCGTACAATAATTTGTACACAACAAAACACCATGTCCGCTGTTTCCCGACTCATCATTGGGTAAAATGTCACCCAACTGTTTTAAAAGTATATATATATATATATATATATATATATATATATATATATATATATACGAATAAAGAACGAATTCCATAATAGTATTTCAAAGCATCCCGGATTTCCCCTTTTTAAACGGAAGGAAAACAATTTTCAAATTGGCATTCGACCAATTCAGCATTCAACGCAGCCTAAATAGCCGGTTATGAGAAGAAAAAATTGAAAAATAAACGGAAACTGATTTCAAAGGAAAGGGAAATTACAAAATTATCCGAGGTAATTTGTTATTCCCTGGAAATACATCGAACTATATTGATTTAGGGGGGTTGGCAAGTAGGGGGGCAAGGGGGAGGCAAGGGGGGTGCGAGAGGGGGGGGGGGGGCAATCCTCTCCATCTGACCCAACTTGCCATGTCTGAAGTTTACATGTTATTTTAGTTAATTATAATATGTTGAATGTACATCTATGCATCTTTTCTTCTTTTCTTTTCTCTCCCCCCTTCTCATTTCTCTATGTATCTCATTCTAATTCTATCCCTCTGCGCCTCAGAATAGTTTACTAGATCGATGGCGCATAATAAATGCTGCATTATTATTATAATGTACAAAGCTTTTCAGATTTGCGCCCCATCTGCCATTAAATATTGGATTAGTAATAGTTACTGTTAAGATTCGAGTATAAACTAACATGCCTATACGAAATAAGGAAAAAGGCCATGCAATAAAAAGTCGAAAGGAAGTAAACTATACTTTGACAATCTCTGTTTACTGAAGTTCCTGTAATATACAAAATATCATAAACAAAACCGATGGCTTGTATTATGTGAAATGAGGAATAAAAAAATTAAGCGAACTGAAGTGAAAAAAATACTGAAGAGGAAGAAAAAAGGGGGCGGGACGAAGAAAGAGACAATAAAATGGGAATGGAGTGACAACGGTGAAAAAGATTAAGGTGTAATATGAAGAAAAACAATAACGGGGGAAAAAGAAGAAGAAGAAGAAGAAGAAGAAGAAGAAGAAGAAGAAGAAGAAGAAGAAGAAGAAGGAGAAGAAGAAGAAGAAGAAGAAGAAGAAGAAGAAGAAGAAGAAGAAGAAGAAGAAAAAGAAGAAGAAGAAGAAGAAGAAGAAGAAGAAGAAGAAGAAGAAGAAGAAGAAGAAGAAGAAGAAGAAGAGGAAGAAGAAGAAGAAGAAGGAAGAGGAGGAGGAGGAGGAGGAGGAGGAGGAGGAGGAGGAGGAGGAGGAGGATGATAAGGAGGAGAAGATTGAAGAAGAATTTGAAAAACACGTGACAATGTATCTTCGCTGTAAATTGTGAAGGAAACGACCTTTGTGATATATTTCAACATAATTACAGTATCTTATTATATTGTCATTATGTAATTCATGTTTTTGTATTTATAGATCCTTCTTCTTCATCTATACATGGCAAACAAGGTATAGTCTGCCACTGAAGCTAGATGTGTATGTGTATCCCTTTTGCAGCCAACATCAAAATATGTATAGAACTCAGCAGGATTCATGATTATAAATTAGCTGTAAAGGATACATTATCATTTGAACACATCGATGACCCACTTCTTATAATGACCAACAGTAAACTTATCGAGTCTTAACTCGATCAGCACAAAACGTATTACGACTATATTATGCGGTTCAACAAGGGTCTGGAAATTAGCGTTTTAAAAATGCCTTACGGACAATAATCATAATTCCACATAGAGGCAATTACCAGTTCTAATCTTTTAAGAGGAATTTTTAGTTGGCATCATCTCTTGTTTACCATAGTATTTACATAATTTTATATTTTCCGCCTGTAAAAGGGACAGACTACCTTTAAAATGACAAGCTCTATAATGATTTTGTCGAGTGATGGCAGCAAACATCTTTTGTAACTTCTTCCACCAAAAGTTTGCGCGACCACTTTGCTCTGCTTCTTTGGTTGAAACAAATATCAACGCCCACGCTTTTGTACGTCTTTTGTACGTACGCCTCATCAACTCCAAGCCAGTGCACACGGCGTTCAAAAGCTCGACCATTCCGACGCTTCATACGACTCTGCGGGAGACCGGCTTTTCGGAACGTGGATAAATTCGTGGAAATATCTCACTTTTTGGTCACTGACAGCAGTTTTGTTGGATCGTCTCTGTTAATTGAGGATACCATCTAGGCTGAGGAGTGCCTAAGTTTATTTACAGAAGTTTGGAATTGTATTTTTCAGTAAGTTTAATTCAGTTTTGTTGCTTAATTTTGTTCAAAATTCAGCCGGGCTGGGGAGCTGGGAGGTTGTAATTGTGTAGCTGTGGAGATTTATTGCCGCAGGGCTTTTTCCATTGTAAGGATCATTTTGGATGAATGAACAACAATACCGTAGAACTTATTATTAGATGGACTACTGCAAGTATGAATGAGTACTCTCGTGGCTAGGTTGACAGATTACACAAGTAAACCGTATAAATGGTAGATCGGTTGGGTAGTTTAGTAGTAAATCTAGGCTTACTAATGTATCTGGCTAATACAGCCTACAGATATATTATAGATCATTCATAATCATACTCAACAACATGCTTAAGTCATGAGTCATACATGTACTCATACTCATACTACTTGTCATATATAGACCTCTAAATGTAAGTTGTAGTTGTACTTCTTAATTTACGAGACAGAAAGTTTAGTCGGCTTGAAGGTAGACTTTCGACTTGGACTTTGGAGGCTTAAAGTTTAATGGAAGAGTTTAAAAACATTTTTTGGTGTCAGCTTACGTTTGTCACCCATGGAAGAAAACGCTGGGTTTTTAGAACACCTTTCCAACTGAGTCTTGGTAAAGTAATTAGCCTACTACTGTAGTTATTCCACAATCATGAAAATTAATTATTTATGAATCTCCTTAAAACTCACTTTCCCCAGCGCTTATGCCTCTGAAGGGGTCATCACCATCCATTCTTCTGGTATGCATAGGAAATGTGTTACAAACAAATTATATTTACCCCCCCCCCCCCCCCCCAAGGCCCCCCCCCCCCCCAACAACAACACCCAAACCAAATGGGTGAAATGGTAATTCGTGTTTGGAAAGGCATGACATGACCCTGCATGGCGAATTAGAATTACATGAAATTGTGGATTTGTGGTATATACACAAAAAGGCTGATATTGCGTTGCCAATTTGATGATAACTTTATAAAAAGTAGCAATTCAATACTAAAGTTGCTGAATGGGGACCACGCTGGTTTGTGTCTTAGAAAAAAAATTAATATACAACTGTTATTACTTCAGATACGATTAGGCATGGTGATTTGCAAAAGTATATATTAAAATATATTAATTTTTTCGAAGGACAAATGACAAGCTAGCACCACAGTGGCAACCTCAAAATGAGCGCGGTCCGCATTCAGCAACATATCCCACGCTTATACTACATTGAATCACTACTGTTATAAAGTTATAATTTCATCATCAGTAGGCTGATACTATTTTCACTGTAAGTGTAATTATACAGTTCTGTCATTATTTATTGTTTCCCTTTCAATGTAAGTTCACTATATGTACATGTATGCATACAAAACTGAAAGTCAAAACAAGTCAAATCAATTGTTATTTAATTACACTTAATCCTAAATACAATGTATATTGTAAATAAAATTTTGCATAAAATTATAAGTCAACTACTTTTGTTCAGGTCCTAACAGATTAGATGTAGATGTACATGTACATACTATGCACCTAAATGTAAATGTTGATGAACCCCCTGTTTTATTGACCAATACATACATGTATAATATGGTATTGCTATAAAAAGTATGAGCCAGTTATTTTTTACGCTTCAAATTATGAATTAGTACACGTCTGTACACTGTAAATGCGTTAATGCCCCTGACCCGCTCCGCTTACAAAAAGTATACAGCATGTTTAATACTACAGTTACAGTACATGTACATGTATACCAGTATACAGTGTAAGTACATACATAATTCTTGCCATTTTATAAATAATAATAATTGGAAGTGACGTTAGAATAGATACCCGACAAAAGCACTTGGTAAGTTGGTATTATAACTTCCGGTCTTCCAGATTATATAGGCATTGTGAAAACATCAATAGTACTGCCAATCATCGCCATTGATTTTGTGTATTGGTCAGTTATTGGCCTTTTGGCATGATTAATTGCAGCGAGTCTACCCTTGTATGGATTTTCATTAATTCTGAAATGACCCTCAATAGTAATTAAGTGTAGAAAGCTGATCCCTCACGTAGAAGAACAATGCAGCAAATTTTACAGGTACTAGTTTTTGAGATTAATCTTTTGTTCATTTAGGTGAAAAGTTTTTTGTTATTATCTTTATACATAGCTTGGGCTCTGATTTCAAATCTTTATTTTGGATTATTGCTTTGGGTCAGTTTTGGATGTCAATTGTGCATTTCGAGAGAAATTGATACAGAGTAATTTCTGACTCGTTGACATGTTTTTTTAAAAACCAGAAGTGACCCTCAATAGAAGCGTGTGTACTGTATACAGAGAAAGCTGATCCCACAAGTAGCAGTACAATGCAGTAAATTTTTACAGATTGTTATTTTATTGTATCAAACATGTACAGGAGGTGAAAAGCTTTTTGTAAATGACTTTTATGGATAGGCCTACCGTAGCTCGGGCTTGATTTGAAATCTTTAGTCGGGTAAAGGCTTGGGATGTGTATTTTGAGAAAAATTGTTAGGAATAATTCTCAATTGTTTATCAATTATAGATGTACGAAATGTAGATGTTGTTTTTGGATCAGCAAAATATTGTGAACAAATAAATAACATTAAAGGACCCTTCATTGTTGTAGGTATGGAAATCACATTTACTTGAAAAACACTGAATTTGCAATTAAGTATTGAAAAGCTCTCTATTTTTTCTTTTAATAAAATAACAAAACATCTTTATGTACATGTGATCAATCACCATTAATGGGTTGGGTTCCCAATTTGTTTTAGTGTGCCAAAATTTGGCTTCTATGCCTTTACTTATTGCAATACAGGGTTTCATACCATACTACAGTATGTGCACTGTACAAGTACTGGTACATACCGTATTTGCCGGCGTATAGGCCGCAGTATTTTTGGAAGAGAAAATATCAAAAAGTCGGGGTGCGGCCTATGTGGCGAAAGAGTAAAAAAAGTTTTTTTTTTTTTTTTTTTTTAGTTTCGATTTATGGCGCTATGCCTGGCAATGTCTCCCAGCTCAGTAATCAGTGTGTTGACTCACCACTCGGAAACTACAACAACACTAAAATTTGACTGTCATCTTGGTTTGAAAGTAATCTTTCTAATAGATCTCAAAATTCTCAATATGTAATTTATAATAATAGTTCCTCAAATTTTTTTCTATAACAAATGGTGTACCACAAGGTACACCACTGGTACCATAGGTACTTTATTGTTTTTAATTCACATTAATGATCTTACACATTCTTCTAAAAACGACATTGTTACTATTATTTGTGATGTCAAAATCGGGGGTGCGGCCTATACGGCGCTGCGGCCTATACGCCGGCAAATACGGTACATGTATACATGTACATGTACTGTAACTTGTAAGTGACAAATTCCTCTACAGTTTAAAACCCCACTCAAATTACAAACATGGCGTGCCTACCAGTACCATGGTCTCCACTTTAGTTTAGATTTCATGAGTTCCGTCTTTGTTTAAACTTTAAATCATAAGTGGTTTTCAATCATTTTAGAGATCTCACTTTCTATGTAACAGTAGAAGTTTAAACAAAGAAAAGAAGACAAAAACAGTGTTCCTTGGCTGTTGCAAGACTTCGTGCCTGGTGTTTTATCATGAAATGTAAACTGAAACTATTAGTACTGGTATACATGTATCTGCAAAATCTCCCCAGACAGTATGGTACACCCTTTGTACATTGCTGCAGACTGCCTGTGTTTGTGTTGTAAACAATACCTTCAAATAGTAGATTTGCATCCATGGGTATGATTTGTCACACCCTCATGCAAACATACAGTATGTACATTTTGTGTACATTTTTAAAAATCTACATGTACAGTATACATGTGCAGGCTTATGCAAATTTGTTTTGCATGCCAGTTTTTATTTCACTGTAGAATTCTACTAAATTGTAGGCCTGTAGTGTAGGCCTACAGTACAATTTTTACAAACACATACCGGTGCTGTACCTTGTACAGTGTATACATTGTACTTGTACAGTGTATGACTGTACATGTCAGTTCACGTCGTTTCACGATCATGTTAATAACAAAAATTATGACTTCCACTGTAAATAATGTGGAAACATTGGTACATCTAGACCTTTGTACATACATTGTACGGCCTGCATTTTTAGTTTTTCTAGATTTAGGTACCTGTATAAGGCGTAAAAAAACACATGTTGTATTGCCCTTTACAGTTGTACTATAGGTGCCAAAACATGGGTCGGTCGGTCGGTCAGAAATCTTTTTAAAGTTTGTTAACCTTAAAGATAAAGACCAGTTATGGTCATGCGATTGCATTGTGAAAGAAACGAATCGATCAGAAAAGGATGATCATAGCATAATAAAGGTGTGTACTGCAAGGTTCTGGAATCATCAAAATGATAAGAAATTTGGCCCAGTCTTCGTTAAGTTACAAGCATTGTACATAGAAAGATGTATATGGGACTATACGCACACGTGCGCGACACATGCGTTTATCTCTCACATACTGTACCAATAGATAAACTAATACCAAGTATATCAATTAGTAGGCGGTTTCCCCGGCAAACTTTTTATCATCATGTATTAGTCAAAACATATTCTTTCACATGATTGGTAATAAGAGCTTCCATTTCATTTCTTAAAATTGAGGCGTTTCCAATACTGGTCTTTACCTTTAAAAAAAAAAACTCCCTCTTTGGGCTGATATTTCTCAGTTTTGAATGCTTTTAAACATTTTTTTTTATTTCAAAATTTGTGGGTCGGTCGCAGAGGGCAATGCAACATCTTTTTTTTAAAGGCCTAACATGCAACCCAATTGTTTTGTAACATTTTAAGTTGCCTGCCCACATTATTCATGTTCCTGTAGTATTTTGAGTATGACATGGGCCACTGACTACTCAAACATGAGGGTTCCATCTCTCTAGTTTCAGTGCATTCAAAATGAGATCAGGCCCTTTTCTCTACAGGTGTGTATCTAGTCTACATGTAGGAATGTTTGTATTGTGGTTGGTTGAATTATTGAGTAGTCT